GCCTATTAAGGGTAACTCTGAGAATAGCTCTGATGTAACTCAACCCACTTATGCAGGGTCTAAATTATTAGAGGATAGACAGACCAATGAATTTTTGATTTCGATAAGTAAGAAAGAGATTAGTGATATAATGAGGCAACGTAATAGAGAGAAAAAACTTTTGTGTGAATCAACACATTCAAGCCAAGATCATGACGAGCCCTCAATTTCTCAGAATAATTCTTCTATACCCTGCTGAAAGCGCCTGATTGTATCACCTTAAGCTTGGCAGAAGATTCTGCGGAAACTGAAACTAATATAAGCAATTCGCAATCATCAACCAAATTGAGTATTTGCGAAGTAGGAGAAGCTCAAGTACTACCCAAGGATACAGAAGTTTCCCATGATTATATAGTAGCCCAAGATTTTATACAAGAAGTATTTTTGGAGTTGATGATGTCTAAGTTATTGATAGAAATCAGAAGCTTACAACTGATATGACAATAGAAGTTGAGCTTACTCATTTATTTCTAAATGTAAATATCGAAGGGAAGAACATTACGCAGACTAAACAAAAAGAGATTTCATGTCGCTACTCATATGGGAAAAGGTTTAAAGAAAGTGTTTAAGAAATTATTGTCAAAGATAACATTTCAGATCAGATGGCAAAAAACAATTATTTCAGGATATAATAAAATATCTTTCTGAAATAACACTGAAAACCTTATGTAAAAGAACCTAAAAGGCATAAAGATTTACAAACTGTTCAAAAAGATAGGAGTAGATAGAATTAAGAATATCAAATCTTATAATGCGGATTCTATTTCAAAGTTTACTAAGCCTCAAATCCAAATTATTCTGGATTATTTCAGTGAATCTTGCTATGCTGATACGGAGATAAAAAAACCTAACTCATACTCTGAATGTAAAGATATAGAAAAAGTGAGACCTAAAGTCCTACTTGAAAAAAGCCAAGGGTCTGTCCCAAAAAAATTATCAGATGTTAAGATAAGCATTCTGCCTACTTCTCAAACTTCGAAAACCAATCAAACTAATGCATTAGAGATGCAAGAGAAATACTTGAATTCAGTTGAAGTAAGTACATCGGCAAATGTATCTTCTTTCAGTCAATCTAATCCAACCTATGACCGTACCTATTTCTGCAAGAAGATATTGGATCAATATCCTAATTTAAATATAGAATATAGTAGTGAAAATTTCAATTATTATGAGATTACTGATGAGATATCATGCGGGAACTACATCTGCCCATTATGCGAATTAAGTCATGATGAAGAAAAAATAGAA